GAATTCAAGGCGGTAACGCGTGAAGCACTCGCGCCGCCGAAGTGCTTGTTCGTACTCGAACGAACAACTGGAACGATCGAACCGAGACATTAGACGGTTGCCAGCGGCCATTAATCATACAACACGAGGAGGCAGATGATTAATGTTTCCCTCTGTGCGCGCTAACTTCGGCCTCCTCTTTCATCGCCCATTTTCACACTCTCGTCCCCGGGTTTTCTTCGAGTCACCGTTCTCTTCGGGCTCCCTTAGTCGTCTTCCGTCGAAATCATACTGGCCAAACTGCCGGCCACCCCGTCGCCGAGTGATTAATTTCGCCCGCCGCCTCTTCGCGCGTCATTTTTGCCATTTCGAATTTCGGCTCCTCGCGAAATGTCACGCATGTTTCGTTAATTCTGGTAACAGTTTTTCATTTTAAAAAATATTACGCGCATACGCGTGCGCACACGTGTGTCGTGGAGAAAACATTTTTACTGAATGTGAAATTTAGATGAAGGGGCCATTTACAAAATCCATCACTTCGCGTTTTATAATTCACGATTCAAAATAATTTTTATTATGCAACGACAGCTATTTGTATGAAGTCCCGCCTGATTTTAAAATGTTGGAAGTAAGTGACTTCGAAGTATGCTAGATTCATCCTTCCAACGTCACATTTTGATGCTGCAAGATTAAAAAGATTTTCTTGCTACGGAATATATATATATAATTTCGTTAAAATGTACTGACTTTACATACATTACCGTCTCGTGCATTTATATTTTTATACACCTTCTACATCCACACTTACTTTACTTCACTCACATACGACATTTACATATCAAAAAGCTTTTCTGTCGAGAAAAGTAACATCTAAAACTCCCATCGCACGCACACAACTTTAGTTTACAAGTAGCATCTTATTACAATGTCAGATTTGACCCGAAAATTTTCGTAAAAAAAAAAGTAATTAAATCATCTTTCACGCTCACACAGCCGCTGCCTCATGTGTGGGCCTCAGACGAGATTTAGGACGCCCCAGATGGCAGGCCGGGCCCCAGAAGCAGCATTTTATGTCGCTATGCACCTCAACGGAGTTCCCGGACCATTTAACCAAGACGTAAATGTTAAAAGCCCGCCGTCCTCTTCGTTTATGTTTTACGGATCCGCGAACGTTACGACCGGTTTTACATTCGAGCCTCGGCGCACCCTCAGACACGGGCGGAGGTTGTGGAAGAAATGTGTACAACATACCCAAAACATTTTGTAGAGGTGCGAGGGAAAAATACTGAACAAAATTATCGCGAAGAAGCTGTTTCGAATCGCTATCGTTTTGCGAATTTTTATCCACCAACCATACAATCGGATTTTTACGAAACGATTCTTGAAATCCATCATGCAATTGTTTTATAAAGGAATAAAAAATGTTTTCCGCAGAAATTAATATAAATAGATTCTGCAGTTAAATGACTTTCGGTTTATTCAGCATCTATGATTTACTGCATAGTATCAGCATCATTCGTAACTAATATCAATATATCTAGCGAAACTCTAACAAAAGTATAAAATATCGATGAATAATTAAATTGCTATTTAATTAAATTTCTTAATCTATTTCGTACTGTAATTCGTTAAAAATTGTATTTTAATTTAACTTGACGTCGAGTCCTCCTAGAAAAAATTCCACAAAGAAAGCTCGACGAATCCAATTTTTTACGCAATACATCCTCGTCGAGCTCACGGATCATTAAGAATTTTCCAGCGCAAGGACACCGACTAATAGCATCGGCCGGATTACAAAGTTTTCAGAGCGCCGCAGAGAGAAAGAGAGAGAGAGAGAGAGAGAAAAAGAGCGCGCGCGCACCTGAACACCTGCACCCCTTTCTCACAAACCCCTCCGGGACGTAGCAGTCTTCCCTTACCCTCGCGGTAGTCGTGCGAGAACTTTCCGCCTCGCGGACTTTTCGCGGTATTTAGCCGCCTCGGCTCGGGAGACCGTAAAGTTAAATATCGGAGGATTTCCACGAGGGAAGAGACGCGGAAGGGTAGAAGAAACACCGCCGCCACGTAAATTGGCTTCGCCGCCGGAGGCTGTTGGTTAATCGCGCGAAGAGGTCGTGGCGGCCGAGCAACACAAACCAGGAACAAATAAAGAACAAAGTTAAAATTCAATTCGGACGGCAGAAACAATCGAAATCCTGGACGCGAGAATCGGGAAACCTCATTTACAATTGTTTCAGCGAAGTCAAGAAATCTTGGAGGGGGGGGGGAGAGACACTTGGGAATTTCATGAAATGCCTCGCTTTAAAAAGTAGCGAATAATGAAGTTAATGTTTACATGTGCACAGTATGTAATCTTTAAAAAATTTTTTATATATAATTTATTGTAGCCATCGCGAAATCTATTTCTGTACTTTATACATTGCAAAATTTATTGTAACGGAAGGTAAGCAGGGATCGAGATTTCAAGGCAGTGCTTAATCCTTCTTGAGGAAGAAGCATTTGTACGCTCTCCTTGAGTGCATCGTATCGGATTACGTGCAGTAGAACAGGTCAACATCTCGTCAGACTTCGGTAAAGCGCGCGTAACGCGATGTCTACGATGTAAACTCGTGCGTCTTTCTAACATTTTTTTCGTAAAAAATGCTACGATATTTCATATATTTCCATATTTGTTAAGAAAATTGCAATATACATTCATCATTAAAACAATCTGTTTAGTTGATGAAGTAGAAAAATTTTATTAATACGCGACATCATAAATTCTCTTGTATTCCTGTTATTTTGATTGAATACGAAATTAAATACGTATTTTTTTTTTAATTCTTGATGTTTTCGTCAAGACAATCTAACATTCTTGTAACTGTCTATCCCGTCAGCCCAAGTAATAGGAATTTTTTGTGGCGCAAATTACCAGATATTCGAATAGATCGAAAAATCCGTTTGACCAATAAGCAAGCCTCAGATAGCTGGCTTTGACGTGGGTTAATCTCTCGAGCTGATTATCAGTCGCGCACAACCAGACACAAAATCCAGTTCCGCTGCTGCCAAAACCATCGTGTAAGCTTACTTACACAGCCGAACATATAGCCGGCCAATCGACGATTGGTAATCCGGGAATGTTTTCTGTCCGGTCCATTATCGGCTTAGTGTGACTCCTGCGCTACTCTCTTCGTTTCGCAACGACCTGATTCCACGCGAGAAAAAAGAAAACGCCACTCTATATACCGCGCGCCGGCGGGTAAATCGATAGTGTTAAAGATAGTTTCCTTACACGCCACTCGCATTTGCAATTCCTTCAGAAGATTCGGAGAAAAGCAAAAAACCTTTGTATCGAGATGGGCTCGATACAAGTATAAACGCAAATCCTGTCGCTATTCCGCACGAATAATTATAATTTACTGTATTTTTTTGATAACTTTGAAAATGAGCGCAGTCATTTATTCTAATATTTTTGACAATTTTAAATTTTTTGACCATTTGTTCGGCTGTCCGTTTTATCAGTGATATCGGCAAAATCGATATCACTGTCTCAAAGTAAACTAACAAAGCGTGTGTATCTCATTTTCACGCACTTTGTGTGAGAAAGAACGGCGGCTTGCATGCACGCACACCATCACTGCAAATAATATTCGCGGTGCTATTGAGCACTCTTAAAAATGTATGACCACTCAACCAAATGGACCGGAAGCAACTATCCTATTATCCTGTTATCTGGTATCCTTGGGGATAAGGTTCGCTCTCTCTTAATGATGATTCGCAATATTTGTTTTCCCAGAAAATGGCACGCCATCTCGTGCGTTAGCGCATCCCGCAATATAAGATTATGAAAATAAGTTCTAATTTCATAAACAAAAAAATTATTTGCGGAAAAAAATATTAACGCAGTCGTGCATTGTGATATTGAGTGAGTTGTTGTTGTAATTTTTCTTTTTAATTTATATCTTTTTTGAGGATCAAAATCGGTAGTTCTACACAAAACTGTAGTAATTTAATTGTCAATTTAAAATTTAAACTTTAATTATCTCCGTCTTGTTTCTCGCGTGAGTAACTTTGCTGGTTTTTAGAAAATACATTTACATAAATTTCTGCATAAATTTTGATGTAATGGCATTTGCATGACATTTGAAACTGCTGCAATTTAATTTAGTGTCTTCAAAGCATTTCAATAACAAAGCAAAATGTCAATTCCGCCACGAGTGCAATTAGTGTCTTACGAGTGTCGTGTAAAATCTATCGTTATGCGCGCGGCAACCACGACAATTCCAACGGTCGTGGACGGCAATGGGATTATTCTATAACTTTAACAATCAATTATTTAGAATTCAGTTATCTTGTCGAGGAGGAAAGGGGAGAAGAAAGAGAAGGGTGAGAGGCGTATATTCAATTTTAAAACTGCAAACAGTCGCCGGAACTGCTCACGACGGCAAGCACTCAATATGTAAAACGCGATGTAACTTCGCCGCGGCCACAACTCCCGCGCGTCGCGCGGATTAATCAAGCGGAATTCACGCTCGACTTGTAAACGTTGATCAAATATCCGCGAGCGAGTTAACGACCGCGGGATTGTCTGCGAAATTCAACTAATTCAACTCTCGGCGAGCGCGATATTTTTCGGTGGCGACGTCCGTCGAAGTTAAATTACGTTAGCCCTTTCGTTCTCGTCCCCAATTAAGGGATATACCTTTTTCTCCCCCCCCCTTTTTTTATTTCTACTTTCGTAACATGCAAATAGACGGTTTGTATGCGAAAAGTTTTTCTATAACTCCGTAACAGTCCTTAATTTTGAAATTTCCAAATCGAAAATGCCTGGAAAATTCCTAAATCATCTACGATCATGAAAAATTTCCACATTCTTCTAAAATACACACGAGTGAATATTTAAACGCGTATAATAATTCATCGTTGCATTACACGCGATACTGCATTCAGCGTGGCGACTGTGCGACCGCTTTCAATATAAAATGAAGAAATAATAAATGAGCCTGCCTGCATGTACCGGGTGGTCCATCGCGTACACTTACCTGGTACAGAATGTCGAGGGTTATCGGATAAAGCATGTGTTCGACGATGACTCGAAGAACCGTGTTGGGTCCGCCTTGAGTCTCGCCGGCACTGGTGATCTGATTTTGCCCAGGAATCACGATCTGACTGTTCGAATTCTGTAACAGAGAACAAAGGTAGAAACAAATTAAGTATCTTGCAGAAGCGAATCGATTGCAATAATGTTTATCTAAAATGCTGAGGATACAAGTTATCGAAATTGCGAATAATAAATTTTATTTCAAATCATTTTCATCAATAGTAAATTTGTTTTTCTTTTGTATTTTCAGGACTTCGTGTATGATCAAATAATTGAATTGCTGACGATCAATTGGTTATTGATCACAGTAGTAATGTACGTAATATATAATATAACAATATAATAAAAAAGAAATCTATATAAAATGGCTTTCAATTTTATTCGATGCAGGAGCCAAAAGTTTTATTGCACATGTAGCATAAAAAGTATTTAGACACATAATTCAATTTTTACAATTTGCTCTCTTATTTTTATATTTCTGAATCTTATATTATAACATTTGATAGACTTAGAATTTAAAAAATGGCTTAGAATGTTAAAATGTACATTTTGTTCATTTTTATGCCTTAGAATCTTATATCATAACATTTTACAAACCTAGAATTTTAGAATTCATATTTTCTTTACTGTAATGCACTGAACTCTTTTATTTTAAAGAAAGAAATGATGTAGAATATTGAAATGCACATCGCAATTAAGTTCTAAGCCCGCCAAATAATATGATTTAAGATTTTAAAGCATAAAAATGAATAAAATGTACATTAATGTTAATATTTTAATACATGAATAAAATAAGTATTACAAAAAATTTCATATCTTTTACCAGAATATAGAAAATTATGTGCATTGTTTGGAATCGTTCGTAATGCTGAGGAAATAAAAAATTATTAATACAATGCAATATTATTTGAATATAAATGTGAACATTTTCTATTTATTCGTAAAGACAGTCGTGGTGCCGTTCGGTGAAATAATCTGAAATTCGGCAATTTAAAGAATATATGAAAGACCTTACGACTTCGATGTGGCGTACGATCCTTCTTCCTCTCACGATATACAGATCATGAAAACTCTCTCTCTCTCTCTCTC